TAATCACACAGCAACTTCTTCTAGTAAACACAGATTCCTCAAATCACTTTTTATGCAAGATTTCTTCTCAAGAACACCTTCACCGCCACACACACACACTTTTCTTTTCCACAATGATTTCTTCAAAAAGTGAGATAAGATTTAATCTTATCTCTTCTATATATATCTTTAACAAGGCGGTGTGTGTTTTATTATTATAAAACTCATAAGGCGGTGTGTTTTTTTATTTTTAATCCCCTCATTCTTAACCACAAATATGCATATACTTATATTAAATAAATCTCATGTATGCATATCATCATACGTGCACACATATATTTTAACAACTTCTCACATATGCACAGTAACATATTCACATATATATATAATCCATGCATTTACTTAAATAATCATGCACATTATCCCACATTCACATATTAATCACATAAGGATTAACTCAACCATTGTTGCCTTAAATGTCGGTTATCACACATATCGAATGTGTTGATAGAAGCAAACAAACATTATAATTTATCTGGAATATGCTTCTTTAGATGAAGGAGATTGAGGGGGTTGGTTTCTCTAGAGAGGGTTTTTTCAGATAGATACATCAAAATAATATATATACATATTGCTGTAATAAAATAATATATTTCTTATTATTATTTTTCTGATAAAATTATGGGAATGAGTATGTTGACAAAAATGCTTTCATTTTAAATGATTTAAAAAAATCATTTTTAATGTAATTTGATCAGAGGGACCTTGGTGTTTTAAAATGTAAGCTATATGATCCTTTTAAATAATACTTTCATTTTATCTATGCACAATATGATTTTGGATAAACCATAAGTACCATATGTGTAGTTCTCTTTTTGAAATATTTATCTGCAACGAACGCCTGAGAAATCAACCCCAATTGCTGATGGAGAACCCCATCCCCCACCCAAATCTACATCATCAAAAAAAAGAGTTTGTTAATTTGATACATTACATCTCCTCGATCAAGATGTCTCATATGTTGTGATGATCTGGATATGGCCGATTTGATTCTTCCTTGTACATGTGTATACATGCTCTACATTCTCTACAACAAGAGAATTCTTGAAGATGATGGATGATTTCCCCCACAAGAAGCAGTATGGCCACCATGACCAAGGTGATACATCTTAAGGTTGGGTCGTTGTTCTTACGACATGATCCGTAGACATTAAAAAATTAAACGGTTCCTTTGAGTGTTTACGATAGCCACCCTTTCACACATATCGTTTGTCCTTTTTTCCATTCAAAACTGCTACAATTTTTGGATGTCTTTGTTGTTGTAACACCCCAAACTCACATTGCATATAACATATAATTCATTCAGAGAAATATCCCACCAAGGTCCAATGTATAAGAAACTATCCTACAAAATATACAACTCAAAAATTCCAAAATACATGTTCTTGTACTACATAACATTTAACTTCATTACACATCCACAGATTGATCTTCACATAGCTATGCATATAGGGAAACAAATCATATTTTCCCTTTTCCTTTAATATCATTATACTTTGTTGTTCCTACAATACATATTTGAATCACAAAATGAGGGTTAGACCTGAAGTTATAGTGAGATCCCTTTTTCATGTAGTTACAGGGTGAAAATCACCAAAACATTATTTAAAATCAACTTGTCACATAATGAAAACATAAATTCATAGTTTATTTAGTCCATCGACCTTCTGGTTCTAAAAATCAGACTTAGAAAGATTTTCATCAAATAGCAGGACCAGAGCCCCTCTGGTTCCGCTACCACAGCTTCTGGTTATACCAACCAGAGCTCCTCTCAAGTTAATATTCATAAATGTACAAAGTCAACTACAGAGGATGGATAGAATAGTTTTCCCAAGTATGAAAGTGTGAAATAAAAAGCTCAAGTATGACCAGAGCCTCTGTCTCAAAACCCATGACCAACTAGAGGCCCTCTAGTTCAATGTGAATACCAACCATAGCCCCTCTGGTTTGTCATTCTTTGTATAAGAAATTTTCTAAGTTAAAAATAAAAACAAGAAGTCTTATGAACACTTTTAAAACACAATCCTTGACACAGAGCTCTTATCTAATAGATACAGAGCCTCTGGTTTAAACAAAAGATTTGTAAAAGACTTATATCATAATCAAACCATCATACAGAACCCCTCTGGTTCTAAATATTTTTGAAGAAAATATTTAATTTTAAAAGACAGAGCATTGATACAGAGTTCAGACATAGAGCTCGGATACAAAGTTTAGACAAAAATATCATATGACTATTTTCAAGATACAACGCTTCTGTATAATACGTACAGAGCTTCTGGTTCATAAAATTCCCATAACATTTTAAAGTCTTTCCATATGACCAGAGATCCTCTGGTCCTAAACACCAATCAGAGCCTCTCTGCATCATTCTCATACTTGTTTAAACTTGATAGAAATCATAGGTAATTAATGTCTCTGATGATAAATCATTTTCCCCTTCTCAATAACATCAAAGTTATTATTTTTAAAAAGAACAATACCTCTAAATCATCAAGCCATAAATAAATGATGATTTAGAATTATTGTATCTGATAGTGATAATAACAAGAGTTATAATAATACTCACACCTGCAATTGCCACCCTTATATCCATAGGTACACCTCTCCTTGATATGTCACTCTTATTTCTTCTTTAAAACAGGGTTCCTTACCAGAACAAACTTACGTCACCATGTCTGGAAGTACCCAATACCCAGTTCCAAGCTAGAACAGACAAATGTCACCACGTCTGGGGAAACTATTTCTTAAATAAAAGTTTTATTCCAGAACAGACTTATGCCACGTCTGGAAGAAACATTTCAAATAGAGTTTCAAACCAGAACAGACTTACGTCACCACATTTGGAAGAAACATTTCTCAAATATATTTTCAAACCAAAACAGACTTACGTTATCACGTCTGAAAGAAACATTTAATATCTTTTTCAATATATTAAAAGATATAAAATACTCTTTTCACAATATAATAGTTTTAAAACCAATTAAATGTTAATTGTGAAAATCCCATTACCAAAAACTCAAAATCCGTCAATAACTTCATTAGTCTACTTTCATTTGGACAATACTTGTTCAAACAAGTCTATTCGGACAACACATATCCGGACATTCTCAGCCGGACACTCTTATACGGACGACACTTGACTAATTTAAGCAAAGAATAACTTATCCGGACACACCCTCTCCGGACAACATAGTGTCCGGACACAAAATCAGTCAAGCATAAAATCACTAATCCGGGCAATCACTCAACCGGATACACTCTCATCGGACAACAAGTGTTCGGGTACATCTCTCATCCGGTCAACACTAACTTCACCCGATACCCCTCACCGGTTAAAGCTTTGGCCGGTAAGGACACTCCTGGGACAATACTTGTCCGGATAACCTTAACCGGTCAATGAAGTTCATCGAGAAATATGTATACATACACCAGCAAATCATTCAAACCATAAAAACTAGTACTAATTAAATCCAAAGTGTGGATGTTTAAGAGAACTCACCTTCTACAGAATTAGAATTTGAAAGATGAAATATAACCACAAACTGTTTCCACTTTGATCCCCAACTTCAGATTCCAAATTTTTTTTTTTTTTTTTGGCAAGTAACACACACAATTCTCATGCACACTATCAACTTTCCAAAAATAGTAGGAAAACTCTTTCCTCTTCAAAAAGCCTCCCTTTTTATACCTTACTTAAGAGGAAGGTGGTTTAGGCAGAATTTTAAATCATTCTTCTTCCTTCACAAAGCCATCACCCATGCATAAACGTGCACATGAAATATCCATACAAACTATGCATGAAATCCATGCGTACTTTCCTTTTATGCATACACATGCATAAAATAATTCATGCATATTTTATCACTATTACATGTATGAAAATATACACACACTTGCATATTAATCTTATGTAAGTATTTATTCATATGATCAATTATAACAATTAATTAAATATTCACGTGATCACATAATTAGGTAATCACATAACAATTACCTACGGTGATAATCAGTATCCAGTTATCACATTCATCAATGAAACATGAATACGAAACCACCACTATTACATTATTTGACCATGAAACATATTGATTACAAAAAAAATATGAAACCACCACTATTTCATTTTCTTTTTCTTTTTCTTTTTCTTTTGTTTTGGTTTCATGAATGAAATTGGGTTTTGTTCCGTTTTTTATGAATGAACTCGGGTTTTGTGTATTTGTGTTTCATAAATGAAATTTGTTCTTGTACTGGTAAACCAAAAGAACTGCAAAACCGAAAAAAGGATCTGGAAAAATATGAATAAAAATCAAATATTCAAATTGTTAATCAAAAAAATCTCGTACATATAAGTTATTAAAAATTAAATATGCAAAAATATCTTTTAACTCTCTTACTGTTTTTGACGCCAATGTGATAAGAAAACGTGTGAAAATTTAATTATTTAAACATAAATAGCCTTATTACCATCCATTGATCAATGTAATCAATGATGTAGATAGGTTTCAATAGTCTAGTAATATGAAGGTTTGTAAAATAAGCACTCTATATACACACACTCACAGTGTCAGGAACCGCCTATAACACGTCAGGTGTCCCCTCCTCAAAATGAATGTTCAACATGAACAACACAATATGGAAGTGTTATTAATCATAAGCCACACATTCTTCATCATGACTCTTAATAAATAACACATCCATACTCTTGATTAATATGTACATGTTGTGTTATAAATTCTAACCACCACATACATTCTTACTTGTTACTTAAATTCCTGCACCAAAAAATAAAATAAAGCAGATATTTATTTGAATCGACAAAAGGCAGTAATGGATTAAGAAAAACAAACGATGTTCGTATGTTTCTAGTATATTGAAGTGGCATCCTCAAAACTATCAGAAAAGGTAGTAATAACTAATAAAGAAATTCGAGCAGGCAAAAAGAAAGCAGAGATGCATAATGGACCAAAAAAACTAGTAGTAACATAACAGTAGATGATGATGAAGTATACACATTAGTTAAGTTTAGACATCCAAATACTTGTTTTTCCAACCAAACACATAATTAAGATACCATCCATCTTTCTATGGCCTACGAGGAGGTGGTGGAGGTGGTGGTGGAAGTGAACTGCTGCTGCTGCTATTGCTGCTGCTGCTTCTTCGTCTTACACCCCTACAAATTATTATATATATTATTTAATAGTAACTCAAACCATGAAACAGACAATATTACCACATACCTTTTAGGACTGCGACTTCTTGATACCTTCCTCGTCACCTGTTTATCATCACAAAAACATACATTATATACTTCTCTATGAAAATAAGTTCATAAATTTTGCTAACAGCTGTTTTGGACAAAGTCCGGACCTTTCGTGGACTTGGAGAATCCGAATAAGATGACGATCTGCCACGCCTCCCAACAGGTGGTCGTACCCTGTTTACAGATAAATATATATAATAACCGCATTAAACATGGATAACCCAAACCACGGCTTCTCATATTGCCAACTATGGTGAGTACTACTGGTATCAAGCTCCAATAAGAAAAAACAAGAGAACAAACTTGCTGATGTGGTAAAGGAACATCTTAAAACATTTTAATCTTTCAAAATAAGAGGAAATCCTTACCTTCTCGGTGAGATTGATTTAGAACGTGAACGACCAGGCCTTCTGATAGGCGAGCGGCTACGCCTGCGACTTATAGGAGATCTTCTGGGTGGAGGACTCCTTGCTCGTCCAGAAGAACTGTACCCATAAGAAAATGTTTCAGACAAGTAATATGCCCTTTAAACAGTGAAAGTCATAATCAATGTATAGAATAACTTAGATTCAGTCCGGAACTTTTTAAACATTAAATATTGAACAGACTGATCTGAACATAAAACCATATACACAAGTAAGATGCACTTCAACATTAGTATTGACAAAATCATGAATGCATACTATTGACAAGGGTTGCAAGGTCATCAGGTAATGAAAGATACATTAAGAAACTAAAATAAAAAATTACCGGCGCCTTGGTGGGGGTGAACGCCTTCGAATTGGACTAGCACGCACCCGGCGAGGAGAGGTCCTATTGAACATGCATTTAGTTAGAATTGGTTATATCAATAGCATACTAGTCAAGTAAATAATAGTAACACTCAACCTAAGGGGTGATCTATTATAACGTCTTCCTGGAGGAGAAGGTGAGCGGCCTCTAGCAGGAGGTGAAGCAGGCCTTCTTCTAGGAGGCGGTGAACCACCCCGACGATAAGGAGGAGATTCTGGTCTTCGTCGAGCAGGAGGGGAGTCTACTCGCCGACGGGGAGGAGAATTCAGATCTCTCCTAGGAGATCCTCTTCGGGCTACAGGAGACCTCCGGCGTGATGGTGAGGGAGGTCTACGTCGAGGAGAAGCTGTTAAAAAACACATTTGAGTTCAACAAATTGAATGCAGGCTTCATTTCATAAAGGACAGTTACTGCATATAGCATACCAGGTGGTGGGCGCCTTGGTCCATCTTTTTCGGCATCAACACCTACATTATCGTTTCTGGCTGCATCTCTCCTTGAACCAGTGGCCAAAGGCTTGGGAGGTGGTGAAACCTTCTTCCTCTCGGGTAAAGTAAACTTGGCTTGCACAACCTTCCCATCAATCTGGGCCTGCAACATTACCATAAGAGCATGATTTTAAGGGAACATATTCTGTAAAGAAACAAACTGCTTATCATCATCACACATACACCATCCATATGTAATTGGGCCTTTTCAGCATCAGTTCGTGCCTTGAACTCAACATATCCAGATCCTTTTGGAAGGTTAACCTGAGAATAAACAAAAACAAATCGTCAATTAATTGCAACAACAGAAGCAAGAGGGAGTACTTGGTTTGTCCTCCCTTAGAAAAGCTACAAGGTAAACAACTTACCACATGATCCATAGCCAATCGCACATGTACTACTTCACCAAAATTTCCTGTAATTGAGAAAAAAGCATAATAACACGTCAAGCCCTTGTAAAAGATAGCACTACAAGCAAATATATAAATTTGAATAGCTCAAACAGATTCACGTTGACCGAGAAGGAGCACAAATTGGGAACTATGAAATTATACCCTTTTATATTGTACAGGAGATCAAGGCTGGAAAAAGGCGAGGGTAACAGTGATAACAGATGGAAAAAGGAGATGAACAACAGAGACATTGCAAATAACTTCTAGCAACAACTGAACACTATTCAATGCCATCCACGAAACAGAATTCATCCTCTATGTGATGGAGCTAATTACTAATAATCATCGTCCTAACTATAAAAATCGCTAGTAGTTATCCAAAAGTGATTCAAACAAATGATGAGACCAAACTATTTGTTTGCCCCCCAAAAAAGCAACCACTTAGTGGCACCAAATTTAGAAGCGTTTCCGTTCATGCAATCAACATTTTTCCAGAAAATGTTTCCAAGGACTGCAAAGCTTCTAAATTGTGTGCCAAACAATAAAATTTACAATTTTACGACTGTAAAAACTATCCTAATCTAACAGGAACAAGTAACATATGGCAGAGGAAATCATATTGATTAACTGTTCGTATATCCAGAAGTTGATAGATTTATGTAATAAAAAGGATGACCATCAGAAGCATGGACATTATCGGAGGATCAAATGCTATAGTTCCACATTTAGTAGCTAAATCCCACATTCAGGCTCTAACGTTTGAGTTTTTATGTGGTTGTTCATTTATTTATCATAACTTTATGCGAGCACACAATTAAGTAAACAATGGTGAATATAAAAAGCATACTATAAAATTAAATAAAGTTTCTCTGGCCCAATTTTAAGCATGCCTCTAACATCCATGGCATCCCCTGATATTTCATTATGTCATTATGATATGGTTCAGAACAATGATAGCAGAAGGCTAACATGCTTCCTAAAACATTAATGCCAGACGTGAAAATTGCCAATCTACCCCCATCTCTTATGCATCAATAACAATAATCCCAAGTCCTGTCTCAATATTGTAGCCATAAATATATATATATATATATATATCATTTTTGTTGAGACATGAAATAAATAGTATTCAGCGGTTAGACACAACAAATAGTGTGTGGTGTCTCCATCACAGACTTTTTTTTCACTGGCTACAGATCTCTGATATTAAAATTTTGATGTGGCATAATTATGCTACTTGTTAGTTGTTACGCATAATTACACTCACAAAGGATGTGAGTGTCTAAGAAAACAGTGTCTAAGAGAACATCTAACAAGCTGTGCAAAAAAAAACAAGGTATAAACGTAGAGTCGAAACCATTTGAAATATAGGAATTGGTTTTGGTTCAACTACAAGTACCACAATTAAAAGAAGTAATAATTCAAGAATACACTTCGAAGGAGGAGTTAAAACTCATATGAACTGCATAATGATTAAAACAAAGGATTAAGTAGATGCCTCTGCAAATAACCGGAACGACTAACACTTAATGGAGTTAAATTCTCTCCTTAAATAGATGTTACACCAAAGTTTTTTCTGGATGTTAGAAGAACATATTCTGAACTTTGGTAAACATCTGCCAAGTAGCGGTCATGAAGTTCAAAAGAAGAATCAATTCCAAGAAAGTAGTATTTTAGGTTTACCCTTTGAACAATTAAACTAGAGTAAAGTGATCCTAGCATTGGATAATTATGATGTTCCATAGAAGAGATATATAGATGCATAAATCAACAAGTCTGCCTACAAAAATTGATGCTTCCCAGGCTATGAAATGCCTCCTGTCCGGCTACATTCTACTGAAGTAAAAAATTAACCACAAAAAACCTAAGTAATAGTCAACCAGAACAAATGTATTACCAAATATTTCTTTCAGATGGTTTTCATTCACGTTCCTTGTGAGCTGTCCAATGTGAAGAACAAGCGACTCAGGTACAGGAGAGGCTTTCCTGTAGAAAACCAAAAGTGAACTTAGGCCAAAGAACCTTAATAGATAAACAACAATAACAATGACACCTGTAAATGACTGCATGAAGTTGAAATAAGCTAAGCAACAGATCAGAATCACAGCATTTCTGCTACTGATAGGGCTAAGAAGCTGAAAAAATTAAACTACAACAGGGATCACTTATAGAGACATGATGATTGCACAACTATATAAATCACATGTCCTAAATAAAGGCATCCAAGAGACGCTACATGTACTTGAAGAAAGATGTATCCTCACTCCCTTATGAAGTGTCCGTCTCCTCGAGTACAAATGCCATAAAGAGGATCACGTTTCACTGACCAAACTAGATAATACATTTGTAGACATTTATAACCGTCTCTCAAGCAACATGCAGAACATGGCAAAGATTCATCACATGAAACTGATCATATATTCCTCACCGTTTATTTTCCTATGCAACGTCTATTCTCTGATAAATAGGTGATTTAAGTTGCGTTCATCTCATAGTTGACAGTTGCATTCAAGATACCTTCATCACATACTTAGAAATCATTTTGATAGTCAAGCATGTATCACCCCTTAAAACATAAAAAGAAAAGCAATTTGCTTATATAACTTCCATTTATCATTTAGTTGTCATTTAATATGTGTACCAAGCAGAGTGGAAGCTATAGAAGCCACAAAATTTATCTGTAAGTTTAGATAAGGTAGGAACTAAACCCATAAAACAAATCCAATTTAGTCGATACAGTTAGGACAGGTGATCACAACGCAAGAAGTATAATACTAGGGAATATAAAATGGTAATCTTAAAAATGTTGAACTTTAAATAGCTTATAGAGCTTCAATGATTAAAACAGTACACTTTCAAGGTTCGTTATAGCACATACCCAAAGTTGGTGAGCATTAAAACAGAAGACTAGCAACAAGACTTCACCTTCAACATTTTTAACTTGACCAAAACAATTTCAACTTCAACTTGTTCAACTCAACCAAAAACAGAGTAACCCGTAAATGATCAGCTACATCTTAGGCACCAGCTCCTCACTCGGGTGCATTTAGTACATGAGACTAGTCGGGAATGGACAAAACTCACTGTTCCATGTTTTGGCACAAAGACATGACAAAAACTCATTGTTCCATGTTTGGTGCAACATGGGACAGGGTGAGTGGGTCTTTGTTCCACCAAAATAGGTGGAACAAGATGGTAGTCGACAGAACTAAAAAATTACCAATATACCCTCACTTGATATAACCCTATTATGGTATTTGGTTTTGATGGTCACCACCATCCATCGCCACCACTACCACCACCAGCAGCAGCCACTACCGATCACCTTTACAATCACCATCTCCACGTCCTCCACAACCACCGTCAGCCACTTGCCACCACTGCCTCTACCTCCACCACAATCACCACCACAACCATCGACAACCCGCTTACCACCTCTTCTTCCACCCCAACCGGTAACGGACCATATATAAATCATTAAACAAAATTTAGAGGCTACTTCTCTGGTCCAATTCTATTCAGTCCTAATTGTGCCAAACACCAGATAGGCAACATGTTTTACCCTATCCTGTTCAGTATGTCTACGTAGTACAAACCAAACCCTATCTCACTGTAGCCAAATTAAAACCCTAATTTGAGATTCTCTGCTTTGAGCTTTGGTCGGGGAAAAATACAACTACTAAAACAAATGAAAACAGGTGCAAGTTTAAATTCCTGAGAAGTATGGGTAACTTATTTCAAACTTCAGAACAAATGCTCTGTCACACCTCCCAAAAAACTTTAATCTGAGACCTAGTATTATTTGCATAAAAATTTGATGATGCTTCTGATACAGTATCCAACACTTAGAATATAACATTCATAATGCGTGTAAAGTTTAATCTAGTTAGTAATTTATTCTCATGACGTGCAAACTAGAAATCAAATTTCAAACTGGGGTAACCAACAAAAGCCAAACTGTAGCTCCTTGCCTCCTTCTCATGAACCCCCCCTGGGGGGGAGGGGGGCGTTCAACAGATAGATATATGAAAATGAAGGAATATAAATAGATGAAAGCAGCATTGTAACCTTGGAGGTGGCGAAGCCCTCTTAGATTGAGGTGGTGGAGAGCGACCTCGTTTTGGTCCATCAACAGAACTGTTAAACATCCAAAACCTCGAACATTACAAAACCCTGACGACTTGCTAAACAGTAGAAATCGATACGAATTAAAGAAACTTGAAAATGAACCTTTTCTTGGGAGGGGGACTACGGCTGCGAGAGCTGACACTGCGAGACGGAGACGAAGAAGAAGAGTAGGATCTGGAGCGAGATCTGGAACGGGAGCTTGAGCGAGAGGAGCGAGAGATGGAGCGAGAACGGGAGGATGAGCCAGAACCAGACCCCGAGGGTGCCGCCGGACGTCCACGGCCGGGTTTCGCCATGAATGCTCAGTTTTTGATCGGAAACCCCGTCAAAACAAACCCTAGGTAAGAAAAGAAATGGACTGTGTGATTTCACTTGTTGGGTTTTATATATAATCTAGGCCCAGTTATATATGCTCACAACTTCACAAGTCACAATTCTATACTATATTATAAAGTATTTAATAAAGACTCTTAAAAATTATTTTTTATGTATGAAATATTGTTTATTAATGCGTATTACTTAAAACTCAAGATTACAAGTAGATTGTGTATAAGTACAACTTATTAAAGCTCCATAT